GAAATCTACTAGAACTAATGAATAAATTAAGCAAGATCACAGGAAATATGGCTAATATACAAAATATGAACAGAAAATTACATCTAAAATGATAAAGGTATTTGTGGCATTTTTTTACAAAATCAAATACTGCAGACTGAAGCTAACACATATTTGGACACAGAAATGTTCAAAGTATATCAGAGGTAAATTAAAGTTATGCTAATTAAATGGAGCTGTAGACCATGCAATATTCTAGAATACTGAGCACAGTAAGCATCTAGATGAAGTAGACACATATGGCTATCTGATTTTCAAAACAATCAAACAAATAAAAAAACAGGAGAAATGATATAGATATTTTTTTCAAAAAGTGGTGTTGGAACAATTAGATGTCCATTAAAAGGAAGAGGAATTTTGACTTTTACTTCACACCGTGTACAGTTGACCAAAGAAAATGGGCACAGACCTAAAAGTTAAAGTTGAGACTATAAATTTCTTAAAGAAAAAGTAAAAATTCCTTTTAAGTTAAATCACAGTTTATTTAAGATGTAAAAAAAAGAATTGTAAAGGCAAATTATTGATAATTCTTCAAAATTAAATATTTTAGAAAAGCAGTAAAAAGCCATGCCACAGAATGAAAGATTATCTATTTTAAAAACATATATCTGATAGAAATCTTTTATCCAGAATAACATAAAAACTCTTACGATTCAATGACAGGAGGGACCCAACTAACAAACTGAAACTCAAAAAATCTGAACAGTTACTCCACAAAAGAATATAAACAAGTTCATAAAATAATATGAAATCAATATATTTTTATTTGTATTACATAGAATCTGAAAATTATAAAAGAAGTACCTGAAGTAAGTATCGCTTAATAAAATAATCATCAGGGGAACGTGTAAACTGCAGTGAAATTGGCTACATTATACAAGAATGGCTCAAATTTAAAAGAGTCAAATGTGGGCAAGGATGTAAAACCCTCATGTACTGTGGACCGCAGTGCAGAATGGCCCAGCTTCTAAGAAACCATCCAGCAGTTTCTTGTAAACTCAAGTGTATGCTTACCCAGGAACTATACTTCCAGGTGTTCACTCCAAAAAGATGAAACTGTCTCCAAAGTTTTGTACCTGAATGTTTGTAATAGTTTTATTCATACTAGAACTTTAAAGTGTTGACAAATGAATGTTGTACTCAAAGATAAAGCAGAATACTGATAAATGAAAAAAAATAGGTGAATCTCAAATGCAACAACACACCAGATTATAATCTGTATTATCCCACTTATATGAAATTCTAGAAAAGTCAATTATGTTCAAGAATCTAGGCATTTGATTTATTGGGGCTAGAGATGATAGAAGCCACAACTGTGTGAGAAAAGGCACAGAGGAGGAGGGTAGAAATACCCAATATCTTAATTTTTCAAGTGGTTTTACAGTTGTGCATTTCTATCAAGTCCATCAACTTGTACCCTTAAAATATCCTGTGCTTTGAAGGAAATTATACATCAGTAAAGCTGATTAAAAGAAATGAAAACAACAAAATCATCATGCAAGGAAACATAAATTAGGCATCAGAATTATGAAATCTCAAGTCATTGCTGGAGAGCGCAGCAGAGGTGAATTTTAGAAATCCACAGAGGAAGAAAAATATTCAGAGAATCTATATGTGTTCAAATTTTCAATCTTGGTTGACTTAAATCCTCAGAGCATTTAAAATCATGACCTAAATCAGCTCACTTTTTTTGTGATAGTGCAGAAGCCTCGAAAATTGGAAAAGATGATAGAGCTCTTTGGTGAAGGATAAAGACTGTGGCCAGGGCTAAGGAATTATTAATACACTAGAGGTCAGAGAGACTGAATTTGGTCCTGAGGGGGAAAAAAAACAAACATGAATGGTACTGATTTGCCAGCAGTGAAGCAAATAGCCTGGCAGGCTTCACTTTGTAAAGAAAAGGATTCTTCTAGACCACATGACTGCCTCTACTTTTTGACTAGCAAGCTTGGTGGTTTAACAGGAAGGGATAAACACGGTCAGACAGTTTGAGTTGGTCAAATATGAAACCCTCACATTAACTTTGGAAAACAGTATCAGATGCAACAGCTGAGAAGCAATACCCTGGCATAGTGTAGAGAACAGAGAAAAAGCAGGAGTTTTCCAACTGGACAAGGAACAGCACACAGGAATTGTGGGTGATGGATGTATTTGAAAAGTTTGTACTTTTCAAATCCCTCCTCATTCCGCTCTTTTCGTTTTCAAATCTATCACTTGCTTTCTCTATCTCCAATAAAATGAGAAAACATTATACTGAGAAGCAGAGCATTTCTGTGTTCCATGTTAAAAGTTGAGAAGATTGTTTTCATTTCGAGTTCTCTTAGAAAGCAGCCTCAGTATTTTAAACTAGAAAACTCTTTTAATCAAAAGTACAAACATTTGCTCTGCTGAGCCAAGAGAATGGCCAGGTGAAGCCACTGCAGTTACCCGATGTGGACAGCAGGAGCAGTCGGTCTGTGTGACCTCAGGCAAGTCCTCGCTGTGCTTAATTTTCTTATCTATAAAATGGAGATAGTAATAATGGCCCATGATTTGTTATCTGTGATTCTGAAATTCATAAAGCTCCAAAAAACAAAAACTTTTTTTTTTTTTTGCTTTGGTTTTCTAAGTTTGTGGTTCACTCTTTTAGTAGTGAAATCCAGTCCTAACTAGGAGGCAAAGTCATTTTCCCCAGGTGGTGTGAACATTTCTGGATTTGTAGAAATGGGAATGTTTGCTCATGGAGCTCTGCCTCCATCTCTGGGGAAGGAGTATATAATGCGTGTTTTAAGAACTTTATTCCCATTGTAAAGTCTAAACAATTGGAGATTCTGAATCTCTTGCTCCCCAGGGGTTCAGTTGTATAATAATCTTCCTAGGTATTTTATGTGAAGATTGAATTTCTAGGAATAGAGCTCAGTAAATGATAAAGCTATTATTATTGATCATTACTGAAGTTCAGAAATTAGGTTTATCACCCCCAATCCTAAGAATGAGCCAACATTAATATTTAATGCTATCTAATCTTATTTTTAATATTACTGCAGTTTGGTCTTTCAAGTTTGATCTGTGCTATAATAATTACTGCTAGGAAATGTTCTTCCTAAGAAAGTATCCTGCTTTAAACACTTTTTTTTCTTCAATCTTTATCTACTTAGAAAAAATGCTCTATTTACTGTCAGGTTTTAACTGACAGATTATTTTCATTATAGTTCGTATTATGAAACTCATTCTTATATTAAGGATTATAGATATCCCAACTAAAACACAAATGGATATGCTTATTTCCTTGGAGTACTCCATGAAAGTGAGTTCTTAATAGGTTCTCAAATAATGCTTTTGCTTTCAAAATAATTATTTAAAAATGCAAGAACCAAAATATCCATCCACATTTCATTCAGGGTCTCCTAAGCAGAATTTTATTTTTGTGGTTGATTTTTGGCATGCTTCCTGTTCCTTCAGGCTATGTAAAACCGTTTTGCTGTGTTTAATCCTTGGCTTATGGGCATGGAGCACTGAATTTGCAATGCTCTGCTAGCACTGGGAAATTTTTAACTAAAAATTTCATATATTGAAATACTTGGGAGCGAGGGAAAAATATTCTATTTCAAAAGGAAGAGATAAATTCGTCATTTTCAAGGTACTTTTTGGGAAGATGTTTGCTTTTAGTCAGAGGGTGAGATGGACCAATAATGAAACCTTTGGCCAACGTGGGTCATGTTCCCCTTGTGTTTCCCTGGGGAGGACGTCGCTGCCAACTTGTGGCTGCAGCCTGGATGAGTGTTTACCCTTTGTTTGGATCCGTGTTACTAGGTGCCCCACTGCTGGGCAGGATTTCCATTGCCTTGGTGTTTCTGCCCCAGCATCTGAGTGAAGAGGAATGTGGCAGAGGGGCCCTGACCCAGAGAGCAGGAGTGAAAGGGATTCGTAAAAGCATGGGTCTGAATGGAGAGTTTCTGTTCTGATGGGCAGGGGGAAGAGGAAGTGACATAGGATGGGACCTTTACTTTTGTCCCTTCTATTTGGTTCTTGGTGTCATGCTTTTTGCTCTTTATTTTGTAATTCTCCAAGCAGCCAGCTGCCTCTGGACTTCTCCCTAAAGAAGGCAGAGTGGGAAGGAAAAGCTTCCCCCATTTGTGAGATACTCACCTGGCTCCTTTGGTGCCATGATTAGCTGTGTCACATTAGACCCCGCATTCTGAGGCAGACACAGCCACATGTCCCTTCTAGCTTTTGCTTTCTCTTTTCTTGCAACATCAGAAAATAAGTCCACTGACTGAGGGGTGCTGTCACTTAGCAGTTTTCTAGCAGCTGGCTTTAGATAAAACCTTTTCAATCTTGGCCAGATATTCCATTTTCAAAAACATTCCTGGAACCCTGGTTTCTATGAACCTCTCAGCAGGTTCAGCCTGCAGCCCATCGGTTAGGTGTGCCATGTTACAATTAAAAACATCAAAATAAGGGTAGCTTTGCTACTTACATTCACGACTATATTATGTCGGCCCAACACAATCCCTGTTCACTCAGTGTGATCCAGGTAAGCCAGGCATCTCTACCTCCCTTCTCTGAGAGTGAGCACACATTTTAGGGTGTGATAAAGGCAGGATTAATTACAATCTGCAGTGCAGAAAATTTTTCAGTTCATGAAAGCATTGTATTCCCATTTATTTTCTGTTCATCAGTGAGGTTTCTCATGGTATTATTTTTTAAGTCCCTCTGAAGAAAAATGCTTTTTTTCATCCTACAAAGAAGAAAATAGGGAGTGGCATAAATGAGCTATCTTTTGGAAACACAGGATTTTATTTAAAATGGAAAAGTATTTATTAATCTGAATCATGAACAGGATTTCCTATTGTAAGATTTCCAGATATCACATAAGTAACCGTAGTGTCAGGCAGCCAGAAAGGTACAGTTAATGCAGGTATTCTAATGGTCTCCTCTTGTTTCTCTCCTTCCTCCACCCTGGACCTGTCTCTGAGCAGTATTCCACAGAACTGAAGAAGCTGTACTGCCAAATCGCGAAGACATGCCCCATTCAGATCAAGGTGATGACGCCACCCCCTCAGGGAGCTGTCATCCGCGCCATGCCCGTCTACAAGAAAGCCGAGCACGTCACCGAGGTGGTGAAGCGGTGCCCCAACCATGAGCTGAGCCGTGAATTCAATGAGGGTAAGGGTGAGGGCAGGCGGCGACTGCTAGGCCCCTGGGAGGGAGTGATGCTGTGAGCACTCGTGTTTGGTACCAACCTGTCTGGTTCGTACTTCTGCAAAATGGAGTCTACTCACTTTGGCTTTTTGGCTGTGAAATATGGAAGGATGATGTTTGATAAATTTATACTTTTGCAGTGACTGAACTGCTTAATTTAATAGTTATGATTACTGGATTACCTGGACTGGTCTCCCTACTGCTTAATTTGTTTTGTTTTGTTTTGTTTTACTTTTTTTTTTGAAATGAGAGGGCATAAGCAGAGCAATATGGTGGTTTTCCAGCTCGACACAATTACAACATTCTGCAGTTTTAGTGCCTTTCCCAGAGTGATTTTTCAATCTGTAAGTGTTGAGAGCTGGAAAGGCAAGAGGATGGGGGCATCAAAGAGGAGAAATAATTAACCAAGTTAAAGGGAGAAGAGGAAAAACGGAAAAGGAAATGGGAATGCAGATACTGAGTACGAGAAGGAGATAGGAGAGTAGATCTTCCTGCAGAGGTGGGCACATGAAGACCGTGCAGCAGGGGCAGGTGGTTGAGCTCTCCCTTTAAACCGTGTGTCCCTGCCCACACCACGTCTCAGTTTCTGAACCTCAGATCCAGTGACCTTACAGAAGTCACTGTTTGCAAAGGTCCCCTTAGATCTGCCATGATGGTTCTGTGAAGGAAAGCTAAGCAGAGAATAGTGAAGAGCAGGACAGAAGGACAAGAGAAAGCGCCCAGAGTCATCTGAGCACGTGTGGCATGGGAAGTGTTGGCAGTCAGGATATTTAGAGAAAAATATTAGTGTTATAAATATTGATAGGTATCTGGTGTATGTGAGTGTAGGGTCTGTGCTAGATTATAGAGAAAATCAGTGGAGAAAGAAAGAGAATGAGTAGAAATTTTAAAAGGGAAGTAGTGAAAATCCTCAACACAACTATATTTTACATATTAATTTCTATTCCTTGTACACAAGGCTGAACTAATGATACCTTTGTGTCTTGCTTTTCTCCTACTGATATCCACAAATAATATTCCATAGAAATTGGCTTCATTATCTGGTTACCTATTTGTGTTCCATGAAAATTACTATTTTGTAAAATATTGTTAGCTGCTGCTGCTTCTCCTCCTACTTCTTCTATCTTCTTCTTCTTCTTCTTCTTCTTCTTCTTCTTCTTCTTCTTCTTCTTCTTCTTCTTCTATTTCTTCTTCTTCTTCTATTTCTTCTTCTTCTTCTATTTCTTCTTCTTCTCCTTCTCCTTCTCCTTCTCCTTCTCCTTCTCCTTCTCCTTCTTCTTCTTCTTCTTCTTCTTCTTCTTCTTCTTCTTCTTCTTCTTCTTCTTCTGCTTCTACTTCCTCTTCCTCCTCCTCTTCCTCTTCTTCTCCTACTCCTTCTCCTCTTCTTCTCTTCCTCCTCCTCCTTCTCTGCTTCCTCCTTCTCCTCCTCCTTCTTTTCCTTGGTTTATGTCAAAATAGATGACGATACTGTAAACGACATCTCTAATGTGCTTAGTTTTTTACGTTTACTGAGCAGTTTTCATAGAATATGGTTGCACAGCTAAAAGATGAGAACGGTTTTATGCCTTCTAGTTCTTGGGGCAGTTTCTTTCTTTTGGAGGGCTCCCAAATATCACAATTTTGCAAGACTTTGTGTAAGATCTTCTCCAAACTTGCTTCCCTTTTCTAGTCCTCAAAATGAGGCTCCTCAACACAATAAATCCAAGTTTCTTAACTTTATGAGTAAAGTAGGATCTAACCACCAAAGAGGAAAGAGGAATAAACAAGGGAAGTATATCCTTGTGACTTTCTATCTTGTCTTTTTCTTTTCTTTTCCAGGACTGGGATCAGACCTGGGGCCTCCTGCATGCTTTAGTCAAATCCTCTATCTTTGAGCTATATCTCCAATCTTAAATTTCTTCTTTTTATTTACTATTTTTTCCAGTTGAAAGTCGTACATTTTCTCAAACTTATGTTCTTTAAATTCATTAACTTCTTTGTTTTTCTTCCATTTTCAGACAAACCAGGCTAAATTCCCTTCATGATTGGGGTCATACAGTTCTATAAAAATCGAGATAGTTAACCTTAAACTCTGAAGTCTAGAAATACCCTCCTAAATATAACTGCAGCGCTTTTTGTGGCTAACAATGTCGAGGTATCTTCTTGTTTTAGGTGTTTGGCAAAAGAATCCACTTCTTTTGTCAAGAATGGTTATTTCCTTTATTATTCAGGCTGTCACTCTGATCATCAACAGTCTGTCCCAGGATTTCCATTTTGTTTACAATATTCCGAGTATAAGTAAACTAATCATTTTGTCTTTTTCTGTTCTGCAGGACAGATTGCCCCGCCTAGTCATTTGATTCGAGTAGAAGGGAACAGCCATGCCCAATATGTAGAAGATCCCATCACAGGAAGACAGAGTGTGCTGGTGCCTTACGAACCACCCCAGGTAAAAAGTAAAACAAAGAAGACAGATTGATGACAGACACATTGGTTCACTGGGTAGACTTAAGAAAATGTTACTGATAGTGATGAGGGGTGTTTCTACCATCTCTCTCTCTCTGTGTTAGTTCTTATTATCAAATATGTAATTTGTTGATATTTCCCTGGTCCCTCTTTTCCATATGCCCCCCTTTTCAAGTGCCTACATATTTACTGAGTTAACATGAAAACTTGAATTTTGTACATGTTACCATAATAACATAGTAATTGAACTGGAAATAGGGTTTCTATCCAACTGACAACAGACTCAGTAGTAGATGTGCACTGGTACTACATATAAGATTCTGACACTGATTTGTAAGTGGGAGGATCTATGAGGAATCTCTTAGCTGACTTTTTCCTAACAGATAGTAAATCTGTAAGTCTGTTATGCATAGCAAATTTCTGTGATACAAACCATAAAAGAGCGGTGAAACCAAAATTTTATTGGCTTGCTCTGTGGTTCTTTGAACATAACTGTCCCTCTGTGAACTTCAATTTTCTTATCCATGAATGAGCACTTTAAAAGAATGCAGATGTGCTATGTACATGTACTGATGCCCACCATAAATATAATAATTTTGTGTAAACATGTACTGATAAAGAGTAGAATAAAAAATAATCTAGATAATTCAGTTCTGAGGCCATTTTACAGTCCAGAATGGAAATTTATCCTCAAATGTTTTATACTGTTTTGCCTCGCTGGGGAAAATACAATTGGAGTGGCCTGCTAGTTTTGATAACTTTTCCCAGCTCTCTTATTAGTTATACTCATGTCTATGCTATATAACCTGTATTCTGGGTGATTTGGATCAACATACACTAAACTGGGTCAAAGATCAAAGATCTGATAAAACCCATCTCACCTATGTTGTTTCCAATGTTTTAAACATTAGCTTGAAGCTTCCCACAAGGCAAAGGCAAGAGGAATCCACAGTGGATGTCAGGCATCGCCTTCCTAGAAGGAGGCGGATGCCTCCATTTGCAGTGGAATTCTTTCAAAGGAGAGAAAACAAGAAAGGAGACCATCAGCTCACACCACTGTTTACATAACCTTTCCTTTGCTTCTGTGCACAGGTCGGCACTGAATTCACGACAGTCTTGTACAATTTCATGTGCAACAGCAGTTGTGTCGGAGGGATGAACCGCCGTCCAATTTTAATCATCGTTACTCTGGAAACCAGAGAGTAAGTGATATTTATCAAACTGTCCTTCTACCCCTCATCAAGGGCAGAGGGCAATGTGACATTTGTGTCTCATTTTTATCACTGACTTTGGATGCATGGTGGAGAGCCGACCTAAGTTTTGTCATTTGTCCTTTAAAGTTTTGCTGTGAACGCTTACATAAAAAAGTAACCAAGTAGAAGAAGAGGGTGGATAAAATTAGATGAGGGGGGAAAAAGAAGTAGGAAGGTGTACAAGATTCTTCTTACCTGAATTCTTGACATGTGACTGGGATTGTTTTTGGTTAGACAATCTTTGTTTTTGTGTGGCCCTGAGGCATTTAACAGTTTCTTTGAGTAAGTCTGGGCTGCCTGAGGAGATTTTATCCTCAGACATCCACTGGCTTAACTGAAGTTCCCTTCCAAATATGTAGCTAAATACAGCTGTTCAGCTAATGGCTTGGTGGTTCTTTGCAGAACAAATGGAATGTTATTTACTAATACTGCTGGTGGCACACAAACACTTTTGTGTTCTGCCAAGTGCTTTGTGGACTTTGCTCAGAGCAGCCACAGCTGCATGGGTGGCTATGATGAGCCTGTGATGACCAGCAAAGACTCCAGGGGTCCTCAACAGTCTTTGACTGCAGAGTTTTCTTTCTCTTTTCTCTAATTCCTAGTGGGCAAGTCCTGGGCCGACGGTGCTTTGAGGCCAGGATTTGTGCCTGCCCAGGGAGAGACAGGAAGGCAGATGAAGACAGCATCAGAAAGCAACAAGTTTCGGACAGTACAAAGAACGGTGATGGTACGAAGCGCCGTAAGTAGATGTAGTGGCCAAGTGGGGTAGGGTTGAGTCTTCAGCTGATGGAGAGGTTTGGGGGCAGTGTTGGGGTAGCTGCATGGTGAGAAATAGTACCAAATATGACTTGAGGCCCCTGTGGTAGTGCAAATAGGTATAACATTGGTGGAGACAATGAAATGGACCCCAACTATACGGTGAAGCTTTATGAGAGCAAGGATTCATAGCTACCATTTCTTATTATGGGGATCCTCTTAGTGTGACTTCTGCACTGGTTACATCAACACTGTTCCCTGGGTAGAAATGCAAATTCTTAAGCCCCAAAATACAGCCTCACTGTATCAGAGATTTTGGGAGTGAAGCTCAGTAATCTATGTTTTATAAACCTAAACCATCTGTGTTTTGTAAGTCTCACAAGAGATTCTCATACCACCTGAATCTGGAGAAGCAGAATCTAGCCAAATTGTTGACATCAATTGATCATTCAGATGTTAAGCATGTGGAGTAAAATAACTTCTGCCCACCTCACAACTCAATGAGAATTAAACAGTGAGAAGCCACAAGACAATATTCAGACGTATTTCATGAGACACAGTGTGTAAGGATGCAGAGGAGGCTAATGTGGTTTTTTTCTGAAGGGAGTACGGAGAATTGAACTCAGGACCTTGCACTTACCAGGCAGGCACTTCTGCCACCAAGCTATATCCCCAGCCCACTAATGGAAGCTTTTAAAAATGAAATATTTTAAGGAACCCATAGTGCAAAATAAATGAAAGTAGAGTTGGAAAAACCACAGAGGCACGTGAGCTGTGGAGTGAAACTGGATTCCAGAAGGTGTCTTGGGCAATCCTAATGTCACAACCACAAATATTTTAAAGCATCATTCTAAGATTTAGTTTGTGAAAAAAAGTTTAGTGTTACCACTGGTTGCTATGCAGTTTATATTGTATTTTGTAGAAGCGTCCATTGCCATCGACTCCCGTCTGTAGTTTATGCGCCTCTTGTTGGTTCTTTCTGTATCTCATCAGTCCTCAAAAAACTCACACATGTGTGACATGTATGATACATATGTGTCCATTCTGATTTTACTTCTGTGTCTTCCTGATAACATAGTTCCTATCACTTCCCCAAACACGCTACTTATCTCCAATTTAATGATTTCCAGTAAGAACAGATTATCTGGATTTTGGCACATAAGTTATCTTTATATCCTGGATTCTGGTTGGTGTAGTTTAGGAATTTTTTGCTTATTAATTCCCTTATATTACCAAAAAAAGTTTCTACAGCATGTATATACCTCCATAGGAAATGAGTGATCTGAAAAATAAAACATGAATCCAATTTTTCTCCCTTTTCTTAAGAGCTCTTCTCAGACCTACACAAGAGGCAGTTTCCTGCCTAATTACCTAATCTAAATGCTATTTCCCAGCTTCCTGAGTTTTCTTCCTTTCCTTATTCCTCCCTACCTTTTCTCTACCTCATTACTGCTAAGAATGTGTTTACTATAAAAGCAATTATCACCAAGTAAATGGATGTTTAAGACCAGATTCCTTACCCTTGCGGATGTGTCTGTCATTATGGCTGTCTGTTTAGTATGTATTATTAAATATAGTTAATATTTAATAACTAAATGTGTTTTAACATATATTACTGCTGCCAAAATGTTCCTGCAGTGAGACTTGCATTTCTCTTCCACCAGCTTTTCGGCAGAATACACATGGCATCCAGATGACATCCATCAAGAAGCGAAGATCCCCAGATGATGAGCTGCTGTACTTGCCAGTGAGTCTTCCATGACATTCATGATCGCTTCATCCCAACCTTCTCTGAATCATCTTTTACTAACATCGCTTTCCAGTTATCTGTGTCAGTGGGACAAGAACTATTCTAGTCAGTTGGAAATGCAACCAGAAAATAACACATTTGAGATGACTTATAAATAACAGAAATTTCTTTCTCACAATTACAGAAGTTGGGGGTCTGAGGTCAACATGCCAGCCTGGTCATCTGATGATGGCCCTCTCTTTTGAGCTGCAAACTGCTTTCTTCTCCTCCTTTCTTCAAATGGTGGAGAGAAGGCACGGGAGCTCACTAGGATTTCTAGTATAAGGGCAAGGATGCTGTTCTTGAAGCCTCTAAGTGACCCAAATAACTTGCAAGAGTCCACCTCTTTATGTCATCACTTTGGGGGTTAGGACTTCAATACATGAAGTTTGGGGGTTATAAATATTTAGCTCATAATAGTAGGGGGAATGGAAATAAAGCAAAGGATATATATATATGTATATATATATACATATATATATACATATATATACATATATATACACATATATATTTTTAAATATCAGAGAATCTCCTTTCCTTCCATAGCCTTGCGATATATCAGTAGTATGAATTCTTCTGTTTTCTTTCCCACCCAATGAAAGGTATCTCTTAAAACAATCTTTCTACACAAGTATTTAAAATTTATTTGCATTTCGTTATATATAAATGATAATTATCCCAATAGCATGACCATACTGATTCAGTCCTAAAAGTTTGATAGAAAACATTCACAAAGTTGATAATAGAGTAAATAATTAGAGAATGTTGACTGTGAATTTTGATTGACACAAATGTGCACATATTTATGAGGAACAGTTTGTTACTTTGGTGCATTATGTACCGTGGGTAATTATCATATCAGGGTAATAACCACTTCCATCTTCTCACACAGGAGTCATTTCTCTATGTCTGGAACTTTCATTTTCTTTTAGGGAGTGATATAATGAAAGCCAAGTCAAGCAGAATACTCAATTGTGTGTGCATAGCCAGAAGGCTTGACCCAGTTAGTGTACTGGTTGCTTCTACATGGAACATCATCTCTCTCAAAGTCACGGATAAGGTTACTTTGTTAGATTATAACTGCAGTTCATTGAATTCTTGCTCCTCTGGATCTTTGGCGGCTAGAGTAGCAACAAAGTCTGGGTGGTCAGCATAGCCCTTGAGGTCACCTACACTGACACAGAAGCAGGCAAGCAGGACCAAGAGAACTGACTGTATACTACTGCTCCGAATCCAGGCTAAAGCTACTCAACAAGTTTGGGTGTGCCCGCCCTGCCCAGGGCCTTGGGAAACAGACTGCCATTTGATGAATCAGAAGTCATTTCAGCTGAGGTTCTCAGTGCCTTCCAGCTCAGGCTACAGATGCAAATTGATTTATAACCTTTAAATGAAATATTACTCTAATATACTAAATTATTACCAAAGACTTAATTATTTTCTCAGCTAACAAGAAGAACTATCTGAAAAGCTATTTTAAATTAAAATTTCAGCTTATGCTAATGCAAAAGATGCCCTGTAACCATTTACATCTTAAGATTAGTGAGAAATTAATCACCGAAGTGTGGAGGGGAAAAGCAACTTTGTCAATTTAGTGTGTGTGCAGTGAGTATTTGTTGAGTAGCAAATACACTGGGTCCTGAGCAATTACAGTTCTGTAGAACGTAATCCTTGCCTTCAGAGAGATTGCCCTTGACTGGGGACGTGCAGAGTTATAATGCAATAAAAGAGTGGGGCATAGAGCTGGGTGGGATTGTAGAAGGAGGCAGATGCAAACTGAAGACTGGGTCAAAAGAGGCTTCTCAGAGAAGGAAGTCCAGCGCTGCAGTTAACACTAGGGTAACAGGGGGAAAAAAATCAGTCCATCCCATATTCTGGCAAATGCTGCCCCTTGTGCTCAGGGCAAAAACTAATGTGTGAAGATGTAAAGCTTGGTGTTCAAACTTTAACCTTAAACTTGTTAAACTCTTACCTTGCTTGCCTCCTTCTGACCCTAACTCTCTTCTTATTCTTCTAAGTTATAAGAGACCCTCTAAAATAGAAGCTCATTTTTTCCCTGCTACAAACTTGTCCTTCCAGACCTAGTCACAGTCGATTCTTGTTTTGTCACCAGACAGGCTCCTAGGAGGTTCCCAAAGAGATGATGGGCAACCTAAACCCACCTCACCTTTACAATTAAGTGCACAAGTAACTCAGATATTTTCCCACTGTGCATATCTGTGAATGACCCTAAAGTGCCAGGAGCATTGATTTCCGTGTTACAAGTAAATGTTTGCAAGCAGAACAATTAGAATGAACAGAACCAGGCACGACGAGGGTCACCTGTGCTTGTTACTGATAGTTCTGTTCTGCAGTTCTTCATTTGTTCCTCTCTTTCTGTCTACTCTTGCACAGGTGAGGGGTCGTGAGACTTATGAAATGCTGTTAAAGATCAAAGAGTCCCTGGAGCTCATGCAGTACCTTCCGCAGCACACGATCGAAACATACAGGCAGCAGCAGCAGCAGCAGCACCAGCACTTACTTCAAAAACAGTGAGTGTGTTATGTGTCCCTTTCGGCATGAGCAGGGGTGATTTTTCTGCATCAAAAAAGTGATGGCTGATGGACAGTGTAGAAGATGGCACTGTGTGACGGCCGATCACAATAGGTTCTGATAGATTTTGTGTGTGTGTGTGTGTGTGTGTGTGCTTATTTTGCAGTTTAAGCCATTTGCATATCTTATAATCTTCTATTTGAGAGATTTACCAGTGTTCTAGAATGGAATCAGAGATCATACTAACAGAGTTACTAACACAATTCCAGTAACCATATGTGTCTTTAAAACCATAAAAATCTCTCATCCAAATGGATTGGCTGGTACCTCTTTGGGGATGCACAAAAGCCACTCTTGGGAATATTGCTGGAGGCTGGGAGTGACAAAGATGTTTTAGTACACAGTGACTTGTTCGAGTACTTTGCTGAGAAGGATTCTGAGACCTAATGCACATTCATTAAGAAAATGAGTGTTGATGAAGAAAGCAACATTTTTTTGCCATGTTTTAGTAGTCTCGCTCCAGATATTCTTGGGCAGTACATTTTTTTTTTACATAAACAGGCAATATTTTGCAATCATATTAGCATATATTTGCAACCTATTTATAAATCAAATTTTACCTTGCCTCTTGAATGTTTGATGATGTTAATTGTTTTGTGACAGACAAGCATAGAATGGCTATTATGAAAGGATAGATTGGCCAATCAATAGTCTGTCTATATTTATCGTTTGCTAGTGAAGAATAATCACTTGTTAGTTTTGTTAAGATATTGTACATATATTGGAAGCCTTGTCAATCTCCACATAAATCTAAAAGATACCAATTTTAAGACTAGTTGAGAAATTCAGACATTCAGGTTTGCAGGAAAAAAAGAAAAGAAACCAAAAAAGTATCTTGCCTGAGGCAAAGATGATCTTTTGTGCTAGAAATACAAACAATAAATAATGGTTCTTTTCTTATTCAGAATTATCCACTATAGCGAGATAGTTATGAAAAGTACATTAAACAGGCCCCTTAGTCATGTTTAAATCAACCTAAGTGTGGGTTCAGGAGTCTCCACTGTGTTCCAGACGGAAGACCCGCTATGAACATACCTTTTAACTGTGTGAACAGTTAAGGGATATGCAACAAGCATGTTCTATCTTCAAAAAACTTTAAGAAATTTGAGCATTTAAGACCCTTTTTGGCTGGAAGGACTCTTTCAGTGTGAGAGCTTGGCAACTCATATTTGTACAATTTTGTGCAACAGACTGATCAGAAAGTTTAATTAGGGACTTCCTTGGGAAGACAGAGTACTGTAAAAGAGAATTAGAACCTGGGGTTGCAGACAGAATTCCCATTACCTGTCATCTGGATTCTTTTAGATATCACACGAAAATACACTTTAATATATTCCAGTGCAAAACTGATTTAGTTCTTATGAAAATTGCATAACCAGGATCAAAGAAACACAGACCTGAACCATTATGACAGACTCGGAAAGGATAAGTGCCTTCCCTAAGTGTGCATGTCATGGAATTATGAAACACACCCAAACTGCTTTCAGTTCACTCTGGAAAAGTTTGAAGTAGTCAAAGTGACTCCAGAAGAAATACCCAGGTGCACATCATGCTGACCTAGTTGTTTCATGATAATCTTTTTCTGTGTTCTTTTTTTACAGTTAGCAAAAAAGAGTCTAATCATCTAGCATAAGGGCCTGCAAACATTTTTTTTTCCTATAAAACATTGGTCATAAACATTTTAGGCTTTTTGGTTCAAGTGACCTATTGCCTTTGCTCAGTTCAGTAATCATAGCAGAAAATCAGCCACAAGTATTACATTAATGAATGAGATGACCATTCCAATAAAACTTTATTTTGGACTTGGAAATTGAATTTTGCATTTTTCTCATGTCATGAATTATTTTCTTCTTGATATTCCTATAAAGTATTTTAATAATTTTACTAAGTGGTTCAGATTTGATCTTGTGTCTAGAGTTTGCTATTCTATCTTGTAGATAAGTAAGTGGCCGTGCTTTCATTTTTTCATGTGCACTTTTTTTGATAGGTGCCTGTGGAAGTGAATTGGGAATTTTGATATTGTAAAGTGAAGAAGTAAACATTTGAGAAAATCCTAAAGTGACTTTCAAAAATAACATTTCAGTACCTACCAAAAAACCCTGCAGCCTTTAATAGAGATTCTTTTTGTCTCAGAAAGTGAGGCATAGCTATTCAGATATCAAACATAGTTAGCAGAAACCCCTTAGCAGATAAAGCTGCAATTGCTGACTTGTTCCACATTTAAAAAATGTTCATTGAAGATTTGCTAGGTAAAAAGCATTAAGGATAGAGACGAGAAAGATGGATGTCCTACCTCCCTGTACTTTGTAATTTAGTGGATTTTAAATTTCAAAAGAGCTTTTAAAATAGCCTTTAAAATTTAAAAAAGCTCTGGAATTTTTCTTGATATTACCTAAGCTAATAAGACTATTTAAAATAGCATCTGTAGATTATACAAAAGAAAGGCTTGTCTAGTTCAGTGGTGGAACACTGGCATGTACTTTTCATTTTTCTTTTAAGACAAAAGATGCTGATATGTGAGTAGTCTTTTCCCAACAGAACCTCAGTATTAAGGTTTAATTGTAGAGCTGTCGCCTTGTGATAAGTAAGTGAATTTTTTTACCTCTGAAGTGGATTTTTCATCTCTAAAAGGTTTGCTATCACTGCTGCTCTGATTTCTTTGTTTGACAAACTTTAAAATCCAAGAGAGCTGACATGCATTAGGAAGATATTCTTTTGTTTTTGTTTTTTGTTTGGTTTGGTTTGATTTTGGTTTTGGTCTTTTGATGTTTTGATTTTTTGAGACAAGCTCTTATTATGAAGTTCAGGCTGATTTTATCACTATGTAGCCTGGGCCTCGAACTCCTGGCAGTCTTCCTGCCTCAGCCTCTCCAGTGATGGGATTATAGGCATGTGCCACTATCCTTGCCTATTTAGAGGCATATTCTACTTATGTTAGTTTATGTTCCATATGTGAAAATGTAGAGCCTTCTGCCCCTATGGTGAGTTTATTTTCTTATTGGTTTGCATTTCTCTAAAGAGAATTTTATTATTCATATTTTAAAAACCAGTCTATTTTGGGCCTGGAGATTTAGCTCAGCAGCATAAGCGCCTGCCTTGCAAGCAGGCAGTCATGAGTTCGATCCCCAGTACCGATAAAAAAGAAAAAGACAAAAACAAAACAAAACAAAACAAAAATCCAAAAAGCAGTCTATTTCATCAGAGAAGAAAATGTCTTAAAATTATGTTAATAAAAAATAGTCCTAAAAATTGTAAGTACACATATGCATTTTTTGCATGTATAGGTACAGATAGGAATTAGTTCCTTCATAGTTTATTGGCATATTAATTTTGAAATATCACATGCATGTTTTTGATTTGTTATCTCACAGCTGTGATAATTGATGCATGGAGATTTAACAGACTGCAAAATTAAATCTGAGAAATGTAGACATTTGGTCTAATTATGCTTTTGTAACACTATATATACTTGAGTTTCCAAGGACTGATATGCATCTATATCAGTTCTCCAGTTGCCTATTCTTGGGCTAAGTTTTTTTTTTTTTTTTCCAGCTCTTATTTTCATGCAAATCTCTAAGAAAGCACATAAATGATTAGACAAAGAAAAATGGAAATCTGATTTCCTCCCAATCATTTGAAATGAATAAATCAGCTTGGAAAATGCCTATAATACCCTATGATTTCCTTTCCAAAGCATAGTACCCATTTAATGCTGGTAAGGAATCAATTTTGCATTTTTCTTTATAGTACGGAGAAAATTGGTGACTCTTCATTCTATAAAGAGATTATACTTTATAGAATGTGATTGTAAAATATTTTCAGTTTAATTGCTTCTATCAGTTGCCTACTGTGTGTTTCTCTCTGCTTGCTTTTCATTTGTGCATGGTTTTCTTTTTTAAAAAATTCTTTCACAGTTACCTTCATGATCATAGGCTGTGCAGAGAATGGATTTTATATTGAGTTGCTATGAGTCAAATTGTTACAGACACAAGTACTCTTTATACTCCTCAGGAAGAAATTTGATTTCAGCTAACGTATCTACATTATATAAACAGAGGCAGTTCTGTTCAGGGAAGCTAGAATCCCATGGAGGACAAAACATACCCAAAGTTTACCCTGGACTCTTTGCCTTGATATTTCCAAAGGGAATTAATTAAGTATTAAGTATTAAGCATTAATACTTAACACAGCTGTGTAGAAATTACTTGACAGAAGATGTAACAGTCTTTAATATTTGGATTCAGACTATTTGTTTTTCTTTTTCTGTAGCTTAACGCGTAGTAGCTTCTATTCTCTATTTAGGCCAGCATGACTTTGCCTCTCTCTCTTGCTGAATCTAATTCTTCGTTTCCTTTGGAAAAGTTTTTTTTTTTTTTTTTTTTGAGTTTCTAAGGACTGAACTTCATTTACATTTGTACTGTGTGTGACATCCCAAGGCACTCTCCTACCTACCATTTCTCTCATGATTGTGGCTTACAAATAGTATAAGAGAGCACACTAGTACAAATAGTATGTAAATAGTACAAATGAGAAAATCTTGCAACAGAGCAGGATTTTCAAGACTGTAGATTCAGCTCCTCATCTTACACCAGGGAAACTGAGGCCTAATGAAATATGCCTCTAATTACCTAGCCCATTCAAAACAAAACTAAGGCTAGAGTCAAATTTCCGGCATATAACTATTTGCAATGATTTGGTCTGCCTTCCTAGTTCAGTTGTAATACTAATCCAAGGCAAGCATCAATCCCAAAGGTTTGGTCCTTTTTAATTCTTGCTGTTTGTTTGAACTTAAAGTCCAGGTTCATGGGGCCATGGTTGTGTTCTAGAATGGTAATATTGTTTTTCCCTCAGCTCCATGTAGCTAAGAGAGAAACAAGAAACATTTTCAAGATGACTAATATATGAGACGGCATAGGACAAAACTATTCAATCAAATAGA